AGGGAGGTGACCCACATGGCACAGCAGACCTCTCCTGTCTCGCCTGCTGCTCCCTTCAGCAGTGTATTTCAGTAGATCCACCTGTTCTATTCCCCACTCTGTCTCTGGTGAGTCCTCTCACCACGCGCACCTCTGGCCTGCACCCCAGTTCTTGTATGTATAAATAAATAAAATAAATCTTAAAAGAAAATAAAATGATCTGCTAGACTTCAACGTTGTTTGGGCCCTTCTCAACTATCTAGATTCCCAGACCTCCTGTCTAAAGGTTGGCTCTGACAGTGTCTTAATATCAGATAAGTGTCTAACTACAGTAAGATTTAATTAAGGATAAAAATTAAAGAAACAAAGCTTGGAAAATGCTCTTTAGGATGCAAATTAAATGAGAAATTTTAGTTAAAAACTTGTCTTTTTACCCATCAGAACAGCTGCTATTCAAGGCGAGGAACTGCCCACTTACTCTCCGTGCATACCATGCACAGTTTAGGTCAACTAGTTCAGCTACGCATACATGTCTTCATTCACAGGAAATCTCACACAATTGTCTATAATGGCACTATTTTTTTTTTTAAGATTTATTTTTATTTATGCATACAAGAGCTGGGGTGTAGGCCAGAGGTATGTGGGTGAGAGGATTCACCAGAGACAGAGTAGGTTGCAGAACAGGCTGATCTGCTGAAATACACTGCTAAGGGGAGCAGCGGGGGAGACAGGAGAGGTCTGCTGCACCATATGGGTTATCTTGCTGGCTGGGATCAACTCAGGCTGTGGCAGTGATAGTGCTGAGACTAACCACCATTTTTCTTGCGGCTCCAGACCTCTTCTCTAGAACACAACCTCTCCTTTCCAATAGTCTTTTTAACTTTGCCACCTGGATGAATTTAAGGCACCTTTAAACTTTACTATAATCAAAAGGACCAATTGAGCTTGTTGTCTCTGTAATCTTCCTCATACTTGACTTTCTCCAGATCTGCAAATGGCATCACCTCCCATGCAGTTGTGCAAGCCAAAAACTTAGAAATATCATCTGATTCTTCTCTTTCCTAACAATTTCCACGAACCTCATCCAAGCCACGATTGTGTCTTCACTGAAATACTACAACACCATGTCTCCCTGCCTCTGTTCTATGTTCTGGCTACTGTGCTGTTGATTGCCCACATAGAACTCGGAGTTATCAATCTCAAACGTAGGTTGGATCACGTTGCTCCCCTCTAGCAATCCTTCCAACAGCTTCCCAACACTTTAGCAAGGAAATCGAAGCTCTGCTTTCAGAGCTCTAGGTGGTCAGCTGCAGTGTCTCCTACGCACTCTTTGCTCTTTATTCCAGTTTTACTGCATTCCAGTACACTTCCCTTATTTTGTGCCTTTAAGGGTTTCACATTTTCTATTCCTTCCCCTTGGAAGGTTTTCTTGGTAATTTTAAATTGGTAATTCCTCCCATTTGAGATCTCCGCTGAAATGCTGATGCCATTTTGTAAAAATCTTACTTTACTATCCTAGATAAACTAGCTCCCCAATGCCCCACCTCCATCCCTCTCTAGTCTGCCATTGTATTATTTCTGGAAAGCACCTTTATTTCTTCATTGAAGTAAAAGGTGAGGTTTCATAAAAGAGGGGTTATGCATAATTGAGATTTTGAGAGTTACACTTTTGGGAAGGATGAGGTAAAGGGTTCCTATCAAAATCAAGGGACCAGGAAAATGTAATTCAGTTAAGGGTCCTGAAGGCACTTGGTTGACTGATTAAAGAAACAAAGTGAGTGTTATTAATAATAATGGTGAAAAGATGCCTGATAGTCAATAAAGAAATATGACTTGTAGATTTACATCATCTTAATCATACAATTTTTAAAATGAAACAGATTCACCTTTCACTTCAATGAGAAAATACAGGCCTTTGGACACCAACATCAACTTTCCTCCTTCACCACTCAGGACTCATGGGTTCCTAACATGAACAAGTGTCTTTGTTTGCTTTGGTTGCTTGCATCGGTACGTTCCATATCATTGATGTCCTTTTTTTTTTTTTTAAGATGTATTTATTTGTGCATACAAGAACTGGGGTACAGTCCACAGGTGTGGGGGTGGAGAGGTGAGAGGATTCACCGAGGTAGAGTGGGGAACAGAATAGGCAGACTAACTGAAATACACTGCTGAGGGGAGCAGCAGGTGAGACAGGAGAGGTCTGCTGTGCCATGTGGGTGGCCTCCCTGGCCAGGGATTGAACTCATGCTACAGTGGCTGCAGATAGCTTCATAGTGCTATGCTTAACCCCTTGCACCCCAGGGAGGCTCAGATGTCCTTCTTGCCAAAGTGTTTAATCAATATTTTGAATATGATTTGTGTCACCACTTCAAAATTACCAATATTTTTATTCAGAGAGAAAGATGAATACCTTTTCCTATCCTCAACTGATCTACCTAGTTTATTGAATGGTCTTCTAGTTTATTGAATGGTTCAATCACCTTAGTCATAAACACTTGTGAATCATCCTGAACTCTTCCTTCTCACTCTCCTCCACACATCCAATTAATTATTAAATAGCTCTATTCTTCCTAAGCAGTTTGAGTCAATGCCCCTATTTTTTTCCTATCTGACATGACTGTCCTCTCATTTATTCATCATTGTTCTACTTGAAATATTACAATAACCTCTTACCTTTGTTTACCCTCTACTAATCCCAGTTACTCATTGTTTTTCTATCTGAAATATTACAATGGTATCCTATCTTTGTTCCCCTCCCAGTTATCTCAGTTATTCAGTGAGATTCTTTCCTTTATTTGCCTTATATTTATCCTGGGGTGGGGGTGGGGCTTTTGAGATCACCTTCCATACTATCACTAGAATGACATATTTAAAATGCAAATCCAGGCCTCCCTGGTGGCGCAAAGGATTAAGATACAACTTATGAAGCTATCCTCAGCCACTATAGCATGAGTTCAATCCCCAGCCAGTGAGCTACCCACATGGTGTAGCAGACTTCTCCTGACTCACTTGCTGCTCCCCTCAGCAGTGTACTTTGGCCAATCTGCCTATTCTGTTCCCCACTCTGTCTCTGGTGATTCTTCTCATCCCCCCCACACCTCTGGCCTGTACCCCAGTTCTTGTATACATAAATAAATAAATCTTTAAAAAAATAAAATAAAATGCTAATCCAATCAGTTATTCCTCTCTTAAAACACTTCAAAGTCTTTCCATTATTTGCAGGAAAAAAACAAGAGTCATATCAACACACATATGACTTTTATGACATACTCCTATCACTGTGGCCAAGATAGGCTTACCAAGAAAATCAAGTAGCTTGCCATTCCCCATCTAGGCCATTCTATTACAAAGAATCCAAGTCTCTTGTCACCACTGTCCTAGTCAATATTGTCAGCATTTCTAATTTTGTGCTACTTTTGCACTCAAAATTTGCTGACATCTTCCCTCCCACCAACTTATGTGTCAGATGGTCACAAAATTCCTTTTTTATTTTTATTTTTTAATTTTATTTTTATGTTCCCCATACAATTGCAACCCCCTTATTTTGACCCCACAAAATTCCTTTTTTAAATCGTAGATGTGACCACACTATTCTTTTGTTTACTATTTTTGTTGAATAATCCGTCTCTCAAACATTCATTCATTCACTCTTATTCATTTAGCAGTATCTAGCATATTACAGACATTGCACTAAAATTTTCCCAGTAACAAGGTAATGTATTCTTGGACCTGGCTGTACCTTTAACCTCTTCCTGTTTGTCCCTCTGTTTAAAATACTCATTACTAGTTCCATGTTGTTTACTCCTTTTCTCCCTTTAAGACTCAGCTCAACACCCATTTACTTAGGAAGTCACCCCCAAATTTCTTATTGAAATCCTTCTGCTCTTTTACCCAGGGTGTTATCACAGCATGTCATTCATTTCCTCCACCATACTTCGTATTTCATCAGCAAATAAAATAGTTATCTCTGTCCCTTAGGACTGAAAGTTCCTTAAAGACAAGAATTTCTTTTGCTCACCATTGGATGCCCAGTGCCAGGCACAGAGCTTGGTACATAGACATTACTTTGAAGAGACTGATATCAGCATGAGTGAAATGATATAATGATCCTTTGTGTTTTTCAGCATCTAAAAGTTTCAAATTTATCATCAAAATAGATATCATTCCTTTCTTCATCAGAAACAATGATTCTCTTCTATGTGTTATGTATTTGTCATGAGTCTGCCTTTCATGATTTTTAAGGTAGTGAATATGCTCCCTATTGTATTATAGGTTTCCAAAGGTTCCTGTTCCCAAGCTATCATCTAAAGTGCACACATACTTCTTGCATACACAAACACTGTGGCACTGTGCTAAGCAAAACAGATGTTTATTTAATTCATTAAAAAAAATTTAAAAAACTTTGTTTTGCAGATAAATGATTTATGCAAGGTTAATAATGAGTTAATAAATAGTGGATCTGGAACTTAAAGTAAGTTTTATTTCAAGTTTGTTTCCCTTGCTCAACTTTGTATTTCAAAGACCTAGCTCAGTGTCTTCATACAATACACATCAAATGGAATATAAACTCAATTGAATTGAAACATGATAGGCATTTATTGCCTTTGAGGTTTACTAACCATGCATTGGGTAAATTCTCATAATTAGTGATTTTGTTCACAGTTTCAATATACACACCAAAAACATGCATGTTATTACTCTCTTGCTTTGCTGGACAGTAATACCTGCTTCTTGTCCTCATATTCTCATCCTAACCTCTCTCCTAGAAAAAAAAAAAACACACAAAAAAGTTAAGAATTGTAAGAATTTCATTTCTTCTGATTATCAAG